TGCACCACGTCTCCTGGCTACATCAGACAAAAGACCCATCTATTTTACCACCCTTCTCTCAGTGACTGTGGCAGTTTTGCTGAGCAGGCTGCGGCGGAGTTCTTGAGAGAGGACCCGATACCCCCAGGATGCTGCAGCTCGCCGCTGGCAGCAAGTTCCTCCACAGACCAGAGATTAAAACAGCAAAGAATGCGGGCAGCAGGATGAATGCTCTGCAGGTCAACCGTCCCTCCCCGCATCTTACTCCTCACCAGTAAGCCTGCCCAGCCACGGACTGGGTTAGGGCACCAGCCACATCCAGGTTGCTGGGAACCACATAGATTTAAGGATCAAAACCTCAGGTGACAAAGCAGACCCGACAGGGCCATTCCCACCTCCCTAAGGACCAGGCGAAGGAGGTGGGGCGCACGCTGTTGTGATCCCACTGACCTGGTCAGCCAGCGCAGGCTGCTTAGTGTATATCCGATGAACTGCTCCATGCGCAATCACACAGTAGAGACATCTATTCACAGCGCTTGTAGCCACAATTATGAGCTCTTTGTCAGCCTTCGTGAGTCGCCCTACAGGGACAGCAAAAGATTTGGCACAGTTTGCTACTAAAAATGTCCACCACAGCAAGCATCACTGGGGAAACAGGGAGGGGAGGACACTGGGGACAAGCTGCCTGCAGCGCAGCCCAGGAGACAGAACTCCAGCCAGCGTGCACAGACGCTGCAGACAGAGCTCCCAATGACAGGGTAAGAGGCAACAGTTTTCAACTGAAAGATGGTTTACATTGGACATAAGGAGAAAATGTTTTATGACAAGGGTGGTGAGACACTGGGACAGGCTGTCCAGAGAAGTTGTCCGTGAACTGTTCAAGATCAGGCTGGACAGGGCTTTGGGCACCCCGATCTAGTGAAAGAAGTCCCTCCCCACGGCAGGGGGGGTGTTGGACTAGATGATCTTTGAAGGTCCTTCCAACCCAAACTATTCTGTGCTTCTGTGATCATCCATGCGACCAATCTACCTGGATAGTTGCTTGTGAGGCACCTAAGTAGGATGAGAGATGTGAGACTTGATCGACAAGGTAACAACAATTCCACATAACAGGAAAACTGAGAGCAAAATTACTCCCTGAGTAGAAGGCTCGGTTGGTACTTCTCCATGCATATCTCAGAGGCAAATGTCTACAAGGGGTGTTATCTCTTCTTCCTCTCATGCTTTATTGCTGCTTTTACAGAAAAGTGCAGTGGTGTAAAACCCGCTAAGCCAGTTTCAGCAAGTAAACGATATTGTCAGCTTTTGAAGGTAGAAAGAAAAAAACAAAAAGAACAATGAGGTACCCAAGGACTGGGGCTCTGAGAACTTCTAGTGATCACCAGAGAGACAAACCACAACTTCTACAGAGTGTCCAGCCCCATGACATCTCTAAAGAAGCTGTGGAGAAGAAGGCTTTGCTTTGTTGTACTCAGAATCAATCCTAATAACTTTCATAAACAGCTTTGCAACAGGACTGTGCACAGGATCTGCTGCATATCAGCACTCATGCTCTCTGCCTTTTTTAAGATAACTAGGAGCAGGACTTTTTTTCAAAACTGCACTCTACAGGGAAAATCAGGGTCCTTCCTCCTCCCCACAACAGCGTCTGCTTTACTGGATTTTGAAAATATTTCCATGTTTTCTGTCTTCTAAGAGCATGAAAGACACTACTAAAACCTCCTGGGTAAAGGGAGTCAGGAGAAATGGCCTTGCTCTGAGATCTCTCCTGCAGGAGAGATGCTGAGGAGGGTGGGATCCAGAACAGTCCCAATCATCAAATCAAACAAAAGGGAAGCATGGGAACAAGAAGGGGAAAATGGACCCTTGTACAGCTCAGGGCACAGCTTCACGCCGGCAGCACAAGCCGAGCAGAAAGCTTCACAGAGACTGCACGTACCCTGTGGGAGATGTGCACAGCTGAAGTCCCCACTGCCCCAGAACCTGCCCAGATGCTCCTCCCCAGCCTCACCTCCAGTGAGCAGGAGGAGCAGGCTACACACGCCAGCGTATTTTATAACATCTAGGGTTTGCTGATGTACCTTCAGAGCAAAAGCCACGAGAACAGGTCCCTCGGTGCCCTGTACCACGGGAAGTATGAGAGAGGAGCGGGCTGTTCTCTAACAGCGTTTCCCCCAAGGCTGTCGAGCTGCGCAGAGCTCTGCAGCCCTGCCCCAACCAGCCTCCCCTTGCCTCTGTGCCTGGGCACCAAGGCCATCACCTGCACGGTGTCCAGCACACAGCCAGCACCTCTCCGTGCTGCCAAAGGGTACAGAACTCAGGGCCAGAGTCCTCAGCGCTGGGGTCAAAGTCCCCAGCGCAGCATGTCAGGCACCAGAAAGCACAGCGTCTCTCATCCATTGTGCACTGCTGGTGGGCAGCTCATGGCCAAGAACTGCTGTGAAGGATGAGCTGCAGACAGCCTCTGCAAAGACCTGTCCCTCCCTTGGGAAATGTTTTGTGCTGGGCCCTTGGTCGTGACCCCCCCGACCCACACGGTGGCTGCGGTGTCTGGCTGCACAACCCTGCCAGTCTAGAAACTGGCTGACCCCCTGTCTGACTTTCTGGCTTTATATAGAATCACTGAATAGTTTGGGTTGGAAGGGACCTTAAAGATCACCCAGTTCGATGCCCCTGCCATGGGCAGGGACACCTCCCACTAGCCCAGGTTGCTCAAAGCCTCATCCAGCCTGGCCTTGAACCCCTCCAGGGATGGGGCATCCACAGCTTCTCTGGGCAACCTGGGCCACTGCCTCACCACCCTCACAGGAAAACATTTCTTCCTAATATCTAGTCTAAATCTGCCCTCTTTCAGTTTAAATCCATTATGCCTCATCCTGTCACTGCATGCCCTTGTAAATCTTGGATCTGCCTCGTCCTCACAGACTTGCCTGGGACGTCTGGACTCTGGGCTGGCCCCAGTCACCCTGCTCTGGTAGAGCGGGGCTGCAGCCCTGCCCATGGAACCACCGCCTCTGCCTGCGCCCTTCAGGCACACTTGGCTCCAGCTGATCTTCCCTGAGGCTGCAGCCTGTCCTTTCCTTGTCATGACACAGAGCGTGGTGCAGCAAGGCAGCAGAGCCTGGCTTGAGAGGTGCTGCTTAAACAGGAGCTAATGAGAATGAAGTTGTATGGAATAGGAGTGCAGCCAGAAGCAGCTGCGCAGTTCCAGCTGTTGTTGTGGGGTGGGAGAAGGCATGGTGAGGCCATACATCGGAGGATGTCAGAAATGTCGCCTCTAGCAAATTATTGCACCTACAAAGGGAAGGGCATTTCTGAGGTGGCTGTACAGTTTACCTGTGTCTTTGTTCATAATGGCATTGTAATAAGCAAAAAAAGCTCTGAATTCAGCAGGTCGGTGGGACATGGCTTTGAACACGTTGGGCAGAAATCCAGTCTGTTCAAGGAAAAATAAAAACAAGTCAAGAACCGTAACTTGACACAGAGGACAGAGGGTGACGTTAATGCATCAGGCTCAGAGAACAATTTGTTAGCACAGCAGTGCTGGGGAATCTCTGCAGACCCATTCTCTTGCCCTTTGAGCCCATTTATATATATGGCTGAACATGTAACAATGTGGTTCTTAATTAGGTGTTGCTGCAGTTTCATTGCCCTGCTCCCTTCAGCCACAGCAGTAATGACACAGCTGTATTGGTGAGCTCCTTTCCGAACCAAGAGGCTGTCCCCGCTTGGTCTCCCTGCACAGACGCTGCTCTGCCCATTCGACTATCCCCACCCTTCTGTAACCCTCTTCTTCCCTCCCGGCTCACAGGACACAAGATGGGGCCAGTCCAGTCCAGATGTCCGGCACACAGGGAGGTATGTGCTGGCACAACGATGCTGCTTGACGTCTCTCCCCGTTTTGCCCCCGGTAACGGCTGATGCCCGGTTCAGCCCCATGACAGTGTGCGAAGCCACCTTTCCCAGAGAACCACTCGCTGCCTCTCGCATACAGGATCAGCACTGCCCGCGCCTGGTCCTGGCAGCCAGCACTTATCAGCAGGGTCCAGCCCTGTGCCTAGCTGCCCGCTGCCGTTCTATGCACGCGGGGTTCACTGTGATGGTAGTACCTGCCCACAGGCTCCATCAGCTTACCAGCTGCTGTTCCTTAGGGTGTCTGGGGAAAAGGAGAGTAACCCCGGTGTCGCAGACCCCTGGCAACCTCCCTCCACTGCCACACAGCTTCCTGTGCCTTCCTCCTGTCTTGCCCATCTGGTTCTCTGTTAGTTAACCTAGGGGAGGCTCTTCCCCCTTCATCCACAACCTGTTGTTAACTCAGGAACCTCTAGCAGCAGAGGCTGGCAGTGCTGTTTGGATACCCAGGTCTACCACGTCGATGAGATCCTGCACACGGGTCTCTGCTGAGCTTTTCAGTGAACTGACACATGGGGTTTGCATCACAGCACGTGACATCTGAGCTGACTCTCCCTCTGTAGGTCATATTTACCCTTAATTCTGCTGACTCCTTCTGTTATTAAACAAACTTCACTGGGGCCACTACAGCGGCAGCAGAGTGCAGATCCAACAGCCCAGCAGGATGGAATGGGACATGGACTGGCGCTCCCAAGAGGAAACACTTGGAAGAGAGAATTCTGTGCAGAGCTGTGGCTGGCAGGGTGTGTTAGCCGTCAGGAACGACTGTATGGCATTCCTTGTCTGCAGCAGCAAGGAAGGAAACTCCTGTCCAATTCCCTCTTTCTCCCCTTACCCACAGGTTTGCATCAGGCTTCCTGCTCTGCCACCACACAGCCCCTGTGGCTTTGCAGAAAAAAGGTCATAGCTCAAAAGCAGAAATACCCCCTGAGCCTTTTAATACTGTCATCAAAACAGCTCCTCCCGTTTTTTCTCCACTAAAAGTGTTAAAAATACTTCCGATAGCGTCTCATGTAAACACAGATGCTCTCTCAGAAAAACAAACACCTGTGTTCCAGCTAACCCCGTGCACGAGATGCCATCCGAAACAACTCACTGGTCTCATGGAACCAGGGAGACTTGCAATCCTGTCAACACGCTGCAGGATTTCCAGTGAAATCCCCATCCTGTCGACTGAAAAGAGCTTTGCAAGAAGTGCTGTTCACCCCAGCCTCCTGTCAGGCTTGTGTCAGACCCAATGGGACCAGGACTGCTCTCCGAGGTGTGTGACCTGCTCAGACTTTGGACCCGTTCCACTGACCATGTCCTGCAGCAGAACTCCTTTACCTTCACTTCCACCTCCTCCATCAGCTCCACGATGTCGTATGGCAGGTCCTTCTTGTTGGGCACCGGGTACCGGCTGACAGCCCTGGCACCACGCTCCTCCTCGGTGCTGTACGCTGCCCGCAGCTGCCCCCGCAGCCACCCTGCGACAAAGAGGGGCAGGAGCTGGGGAGAAAGGAGGGAGGAAAGTTCGTTAATTGCAAGGACATGCATCATCGCAGCAGCCTGGGGAGGGGGACTTCTCCTCAGCTGCTCCCACTGTTCTGGCAGGACACAAGGACACCTCTGTCACCGTGAGCCATTTGCTGCTTCACTAGCGGGGCAGTCAGTGCTCTGGGAAAGGAAACCCATGTCCCATTCCCACCTGTAGCCCCAAGGTGCTGTGTGGGCACCTGGCAAGTGTCGCCCCCCTGATGCACCGTCTCGGATGTAGCCATGGCTGCAGCTCCTCACAGGGGGGCTGAGCTGGAGAGCGGAACAACACGGGGTCGGGAAGTTGGTGCAAGCATGGTAGGAGAGCCCAGGAGCACTGGCGCTTTGCTCTCCAGGATGCACCGCGGCAGTTCTGAATGTTCCCAGGAACACTGCATGATCCCCAGTCACTCCACCGCAGTGTCCCCCACAATTTATGGGTGAAAACTAAACCCGTTGGATCACACATTCTCTGAGGGTTTTTTCTTGGAATATACTTGAGTTCTCGCCTGAAACACGAACAGGCTACTGCAGCATAAATGAGTGACAATAATAACTGGGGCAGAGGCACCTCAGCTTGCTGTGGCAAGGACGATGCTGAGACAGCTGTAGCAGAACATACCCAGGTACCACCTGTGGAAATGGCTGGAAAAACACTACAGGGAGTATAAACAGCAAAAGCATCTCGGAAATTAAACTTCTGAGGATTAAGTGCAAAAATACACTGGGGCGCAACAAGTAGCTCTAGCGCCACGGAAAAAGATTCCCACCAGGTACCGGTCAGCCAGGCACCCGGCTCAAAACCAGAGAAAACTCGCGTGGATCAACAGACAGGTCTGTGTGGGAGCTTCCTGCCTCTCACTGGAAAAAAAAGCGTCGGGAACCAGCGGGCGCGGGACACGGGGCAGCGGCCGGACGGATTCACCCCG